AGGCTGTTATACGTAACTTACGTAAGGCTGCTATACCTAACGTACTTAAGGCTGCTATACGTAACTTACGTAAGGCTGCTATACGTAACCTACGTAAGGCTGCTACACGTAAACTACGTAAGGCTGTTATACGTAACTTACGTAAGGCTGCCATACCTAACGTACTTAAGGCTACTATACGTAACCTACGTAAAGCTATTATACGTAACTTACGTAAGGCTGCTACACTTAACGTACTGCTATATGTAAACTACGTAAGGCTGCTATACGTAGCGTACGTAAAGCTGCTATACGTAATTTATTCGTAAATTATAATTTACGGGCTATATAGCTTTACGAATAACTTAACTTTACTAAAAAACTTAATAATTATAAAAAGAATTAGCTTTTTTAAAGTTTAATAAAAGTAATACTTATAATTAAAGGAATTACGTGCATTAACTAATTAAAAGGTTTTATAATCAAGTTAAAGGTCTTTTGATTAATATAACATTTTAAGCGAAGCATATTAATTAACCCGTAAACTATAGTTTACGGGTGAACTCTTTTTTTAACTATTATTACCGGTATTCTTAGCTAGCTAGCTAAAGTCGATATAAATATATTAATAATAATAAAAAAACTAAAGATATCGATAAAAAAGAATTCAATTAATTATTGCAATTAATTATAAACAAGTAAATACAAAAACTTAATAATACAAAAAAAGCAATTCAATAAATAAAATCAAAGTCGTTAATTATAAAACCTAGCAAAAGCGATACTTTTTGCAATTAAACGCTTGATTTTAAAAGGAGCTTTTTTCTTTTTATCTTATATTAATCCCGCTTCATTATCTTCTTTTTCTTTTATTCGTTTGCGCTTTAAAATTGATAATAGATTTGTAATTCGTTCGCTTATAAAAGTATTAGATTTAAGGTCGTTAAACTTATATATCATAATTAACTTATTTTGACTTTAAATAACAACTAAAAGAGTTTTAAGTTTCGAAATACTAAGTTTCGGGGTTTAAGCGGCATTTAAAGTTTTATAAAATAGCGAAGCCGAGTCCGGTATTTTATTAGCTTCCTTTTTACTTATTATATTTTTATCATTTTGCTTAAAGCTTGATATTTCTTCCGCGTTAAAATAATTTTATTAAAAAATATTATTCGAATTGTTTTAATCGTATAAATTTTCTATCGTTAATATTTAAGTTAGAATATATATTTATATAAAAGCGTATATTATATAATATCGTATTTCGTTGCATTTTATTTTCATAGTTTATATAGCGTTTAAAGCTAATCGATTCGTTCGTATCGTTTAAATTTAAATTTTCTAAATCGTTTTCGTTTTTTATATTATTAAAAACGTTTTAATCTATATCATTTTAAGTTTGCTTATCGAAAAGTAAATCCGTAGCTACTTTCGATTGATTTACTTTGCTTAGTTTTCTTTGTAAAGAATATAATCGATTTGCTACGACTTTGCTTTGAGAAGCGGAAGAATACGCTTTGTATAATCTTATATGATAGTTAATAAATCGATTAATAAATCGATTAGTAAATCGATTAGTAAATCGATAAAAAGTAAAAATATCGCAAGTAAATTAACTTACTTTTTAAATGCCTTTCGAAATTTAAAGACTTTCCGTACCGTAGCTATCGCATTTTAAACGAAACATTTTTATTAATATCTTAAAACTTATTTAAGTTCTCTTTTATTTAATATAATTAATAAATATTTATAAAATCAATATTAATTAAATTTACGTGATTCTCGCACTTTAGCTTTTAATATTATCAACTTAGCTTTTCGTTGCTTAAAACTTATTGTTCGAAGGTCTTAATCGATCGCAAGATTATCGCAAGCAAAGATATATTTAAAATAAAATAAGCTTTGAAATTAACGATTTTACTATTCTTAAAACTTTTATACTTTTTATTCGAATTCTTTTTAAAGCTGATCTTTATTTAAATTATTATAATTTACTAAAATCGATTCGAATAAATGCCGAGCTTTATTTAAGCGAGTATTATACATCTTGAAATATAAAGCAGTTATTTCTTTTGCGATTATTAATAGCGATAAATTATCGCGACGATAATCGCAAATATCTTTTATAATATTAAATACCTTTTTTACGCAAACACTAATTAAAAAGATATATAAAAAATCTTTAGCTATTCGAGCTAAATCAAAGTACCGAAGCTTAAGGTTTCGTTAAGAAGTTAAAATCTTTTATCCGTCGACCGCTAAACTTAATGAATAAAAATTAATAAAATTAAGATTTTAAATTAAAATTTCAAACTTACGAGCTGAAAGATAATTATGCACTTTCGACGATTTGTAATTTATATCTTCGAAAGAAGCTTATAAAAAAGAACTTAATATTAATTTGCCGCGGAGTAATAAAGCGGCTATCGGTTAACGATCTATTGCTTTAATATTATTAATACGTTAAGCTATAAATATTAAAGACTTATAATATTCGTTAAAAAGCTTTTTAAATCTCGCTTTATATATTGCAAATTAATCTTTACTTTCGTAAAGCTAAGAAAAATTTAAGTCGAAAGTCTTTAATTTAATAGCAGAATATAAGATTATCGCGAAAGTAAAAATATCTTTTAGCGGCTTTTGCGTTTTCTTATAATACTTATTTAATTTCTCGATAACATTAATAACGCTTTCTTTTAATTGCAAGATCCATTTAAAATCATTACGATTTTCTTTCGAAATCTTTATATATTTAAACTTTAATCGTGCTTATGCTTTATTTAAACGTTCGAATATTTCATCGAATATTAAAAATCCGTATTAAATAGTAAGACTAAGCTCTTTATTTAAGTGCATAATTAAAAAGTGAAACGGTCGAAAAATATCGATTAATTATAAGATTTGCTATTATTAAGTATTAGATAATTTAAAATACTTATCTTATCGATATTTATATAATGTTTTTAAATAATATCTTTAAAAGTTATAAATCGATTAAGCATATAAAATATAAAATCTTATCTTATAATAATATTCAAAACAAGCTTTAAGCTTTTCGTTAAAAGATGCTTTAAATCGTCGATAAAAGCTTTTATCGTTTTATTAAATCGCGATTTTCGAAGTTAACTAGCCGTAATACATTTGAAAAACTTTCGAACTTAAGTACGTTAATTAATAATTAATAAATATAATTAATAAATATTTTTTTTTAAAAAAAAACTTATAATCGCAAGTATATATACAATCTTTCGTTTATCGCGTCTTCTTGCTTTTTTTAGCTCGTTTATATTAGAATCTTCTTTCTAATGCTTTTTTAAGCTTTCGTTCGTTAGCGATAATCGCGGTCCAAGCAACGCTTTAAGAAATAATTGCAAGACGTAAGCTATATACGAAACGTATAGAATTTCTTAGCTTATAAAAAGCTTTTTTTTAAACGCATTTTCGACGCATTTAAGCAACTCTTTTATTATTATATTATTCGAAGATACGTTATCCGTTATGATCGCGATTATTTTTTTTATTAAGCTTAATTTAATAAAGCGTTCGTAAATAATTTTTGCTAATTCTTTTTTTATATAATTAAACTTAACGTATATAAATTTAAATATAAGCTGAATTATATATTAATCTTTTGTAATTGCAGTTTCGATTATGCATATAAAAGAATAGCGCTTAATGCTAGACTAATAGTTTAATGAAATGCTAAGTTTTTAATTAGCTAATAAATTGTTTAATAAAAAGCGATCAATTTCCAAAATCTTATCGTCGAAGTCTCGCTTAATAGTTGAAGTATTAAAGAGCTTAAGATATAAGTTTTATAATTCGCAAAGAGGTTTCTAATTCGAGTTATTATTTATTCGAAACGAGCTTCGCGTAAATAATATAACATCTAAAACACTTTTTCGAAATGCTAATTTTAAGTTTTAATACGAAAGCGTTTTT